TCAAAATAAACAGGTGTTTCATCCATATTTCCTATTTCAAAAAAATTATATTCGAATTGTCTTCGTTTTCTAATAATGAATCATTGAAATTCCAAAAGTTTATTATTAAGATGTGCAGAAAGCTTTTAATCAACTTTTGTTTTACGTCGCAAAGAAAGATCATGCCTTTTTAAAAAACCATAGAACCAATGATCTGAAGCAAGAAATTTTTCATCGGCACCTGGGTAAATATCAGCAAATTTTTTTTTAAAAGTTCTTTCATATAAGTTTTAGCAACTTTAGTGATTACAGCAATTCCATCTTGTCGATATTCAAGGATCCATGCATTCAAATCAGCTTCGGCCTCAGGATATTGTGCATTTCTTCCTAAGTTTTCACCAATTCGTCGACTTTTCTTTTTTGTGGCTTCAAGTTTTTCTTTGTTTTTATGCTAACGAGAAATCATTGAATGGTCAATATCAAAGTGGTGTTCGGCTGTCTTAAAACCATTCTGTTTTGCATATTGCAAAACTTTAAGCTTTTCAGCAACAGAGTATGATATGCGTTTAGTTTTTGACATTTGTATGAAACTATCTAAATTTTTGCTTTCGTTTTATATATATATTTTTTTATTGTTAGATCGTGGCTTTATAAATTTGGAATGCACATGTTATGTACGCAAATGTCAATATGAAAATTCCAAACAGGTGATTACTGGTTAATATGTTAATTTATTTTTGATACATTGTTTCATGATTACGTTTATTAATTAATTTTTCTATCTATTATTGTTATTATACTTATATAGTAAGGCTACTACGAATGATAATCAATGAAGACATAGCATATATAAAATAATAATAGAATGACGAGGATGAAACAAATTCAGCATGAAATAAGAGATGCTATTGAATATACCGGTCGAGATCAAGAAAGATACTTAACTATGCACCCAAGTATCGAATATTCATTTCTGTACAAGCTATATGAGTATGCAGAGGATCAGAATGAAGGTATGATTACATTACTAAGTATGAATGAAAACTTTAAATTATGTAATGACAAGTACATTTGTTTTAGGATCAAGAGGATCTTTAAAAGAAATTCAATAACCTACATTTTAACATTAAATTTAATGACGGAATAGGCGAGGAATAAGCAATCAGCACATGTGCAATTATGGCAAAGAGAATTGAAAAAAAAATCAAAAATCTTAGTAAATATTTCGAATACTTACTATAATAATGGGACAGCGAGGGCAATTAATAATTCTGATGAGGGATATTTTTCCTAATAAGATAAAAGGGTATTATCAGAGGTTTGCAAAGTGAAAAAATATTTAAGAGGGACGAAGATAGTGCTACTGCTTGTCCCACCCAAATGAACGAATTGTTTATAGTAAAGGAATCGATTTGTAATACTAGCGTTAAGAATGGTAATGAATGATTTAGTGAGGATATATTATTATAAACCGGCAAGCTGAGTTAGATCCCGAAACATACCTGATGCAAACTGAGGAAACATCCAGTGATGATAATGCTAAAGGTTATTAGGATTAGATCGCTTATATGGTATTAATGAAAAAAATGAAAAAGACGAAGATAGGTAGATCAATCTGAATATATAGTACAAATTGAAGAGATGTCCAATGATGTTAATGTCGCAAATGATCTGTATCTTCCCGTAATTGACAATAACAGGGTATTATGATGAGGTAATCGAGACGCCTATATCGGATAAAGTTCTACATTATAGGGCAAGAAAGTGAGAGCTTATTGTGTGACTTTATGTTAAAGGATTGAAAGTTGACCTTTCGATTTACCCAAGAAATTGGAGAAGTTATCAAACATGCGAAAAGGATAGAATGGTGAAGAATTATAAGACAGAGAAGAGCATTACAATAGATTAGCTTACTGCTTTTGAGATTGAGTCGAAAATAGGTATGTTAGGTCTAGATCAC